TATTAAACATGTTTTAATCAATTGTATTGACTTTGCTGATATTCGGAAGAAGCATTTCAATGTCAATAATATGTATGATTTATTTAATAATATTCCATTTACAAATATTGTTTCATTCTTAAAAGAAATTGGAATATATTATAAAATATAAAAATGTTATTATATTTAAAACGATTTTAATTTTTATCACGTTATCTTAGTGTTGATTTTTATTTGTAAATAATCAATTTGCTTTAGTCTAGAATTTTAGTTTATTGAAAGACCTTTTGTCTGATTTTAAAAATATACCTTAAATTGTTATAATATTCGAATTAGCTCTCGCCGCGATATAGCCTTTCTGTGCTAATGCGGCGTAAAGCAAACAACAATCAATCAATCAATGATTTGCCTAAAGAATATAATCATCCTTGAAGTGCCCCCCCCCCCCCCCCCCCCCCCCCCCAAGGGTGACTGGGGAATAGAAGTATGGTCACCATTGGTCTTCCTCCGACCGGCAGTAAAACCCGTGCTAAAGTGGGGCGTCCGTTTGGCTGTGCGGGATGTACAAATTTGCAGCCACGTCCGGTTAGAATGGGGACGTTAAATCCGATGCCTCGTGTAAAGAGAGTGCCACGCTCTTTGCACGTTAAGAACCCTTGCAACAACTCTTTGAGGGGTCCGTAGGTGACCTGTGCAAGGCTAAATTTCTTTCCCTATCCGATATACCCTCATTTCCCGTGGCAGTCTTAATTTCTCCGACATTAATCCCTTAATCTATTACAGAACCTACCTATTGTATTTATTGTAAACTTGTTCTCGTCCTGAATTTGCATGAAAATTTTGCCACTGGACGTTAAGCAACCAACAATCAATCAATAAAATTTACTTCTACCAAATTAGTTTATTTTCACTTTAGACCAAGCTAACTAACAGACATGATACCCTCTTTTCCTGCTTCCTGATCCCTCATTCCCATGTTCCCTTACCCCTGTCCACCTCCTCAAGGGGTTCAATGGTTTTGTTTGTTTTTCTTGACAATATAAATGGCCTAATTTGTAAATTAAAGCCCTACATTAAGGGGCGATACATTTGGTCCTGGAGACGCTGCCTTACATTAATTTTAATATAATTATAATCAACTTGCCCCGGAATATTATATAGTTCACAAAAGCCACAATCGTTAAACACAGATTTTACATAGTTAAACCACTTGAAATTATAACCTTCATGCTCATGCATGTACCAAAGTTACTTATACAGTTTACCCGATAGTTTTTTATCATTTGTTGCTAGCTTGTGCCAAAAACATACCATTTTTAACTTGATCTGCAGTTCAAGTGGAAATCTTCGTTGTCTATTCGCCACTATGTCTGTTATTTATGTACATGGTCGTATTCATCAGTGCAGTAGGCTGCTCAGCAATGGCGACCCTGAAATTTCTGTTGTCCGATTAAAGCGCCAAATTAGAGGGAGGCAACTCGCGCTAGAAAAAAATTACCGTATTTCACCAAAATAATCAAAATTTCGCTTTTTTCTAGCAAATAGTAATACGTTAATCACATTTATGATCAGCTATCGTCCATTGATATAAATGCATCACACTTCATACAAAGAAAGATAATATCAAACATTAACACACTTGTTTACAAAAAATCTAGAATCTTAATGACATTCAAGCTTCCTTTCTAAAAAGAATATAGCTGCTACATATTCTTATGTATTTTGTACAAATTTACATATCCAATACTTGTGAAAGGTCTCACCTTTTAATGTCAACTGTTTCTGTTTCTTTTATCTTCATTTCGTTTATTCTCTTTTCTGTACGTCAGAGAGAGTCATGTTGTTATTACAAGATGTTGTTGGTACATTTATGTGCCAATAAACCCTAATGCATATTTATTTGGTTCAAGTTTTTCAATTTCCTGGTCCACTTTGTCTGTTTTTGGAAAATAACCTTGTTCAGGAAAAGTATATTTTCTACATTTGGAAATCTGTTTTGTTAATGGCAAGCCATTCTCTAAATTGTCACAGATGTCTCCAAAACCAACATATTTAAATCTGTTTGTGGCTTTATTCCTTATGATGAAAAGACACTCCACGGGTTCCCTCTCAAGGTTTTGAAGTTTTCCACCAATTCTGGTGAGCTCTTGCATGATTCTTGTCTTTTTCATTCTTTCTGTTTTTATTATTCTGTCTTCTGATTGATATTTGGAAAAAGTCCCCGGTTTTAGTTTTTTGTAAGCCATAGCTTTAATTTTCTCCTCCATTAGCTTTAATCCATAAATGTTATTGTCCTGGTTCCCAGAGCTGCTATTTCTAGGGTCTCCTTCTTCTCCTTCCATTGTTGTTATAGTGTGTCCTGAAATTTATCCAAACATTTAAACTATTTTAATGTTAACATTGTTACCTACTATGTTTTGCATGATTATTTTAATGTTTCTACCCTCGGGGATTCCTTTTGATTTATCATAACATTGACCATGTTGACTCTTATTTTAAAATTATGCTTCAGATTTTGTTTTAAAAGAAGAAAGTTTCCATTTGTTGTAAATCGTTTATGAATCATGAAAACATTGTACAAAGACATTATCTTTTTGACAAATAGAGAATTTCTGTTTCAAGTTGCTCATGCTTAAGTTGCATGTATACTGTTGCTTGTCTTTTTGTTGTTTTCATTTTTTGCCATGGCATTGTAAGTTTATTTTTCGACTTATGAGTTTGGATGTCCCTTTGGTATCTTTCGCCTCTCTCTTGCATTTGCTGTAGTCTTCTAATTGTATATAAACTGTTAACACAGAGAGGTATGTCTCGCCTTTTTGTAATTTTGTGAATTTCCCCATGTTGCTGAAGACGTTTAACACTGGTTCTCCGTTAAAGCGCCCATTTTATGACGTTAATTTGTCCCACCGTAAGAAAGCAAAACTAACGACTTCGAGTTATATACATCCGTAGCTTGTTATACTTATATCTGAGATTTTTATATTTCTTTTTTATCTATATTTTTAATTTTTATAAAGTTTAGTACATGTTGCACAACGATAGTGATCGGTACGGTCGTCAAAATATTTTTTTCGTAAACCTGTAATTTCCGTTAACGGAAAAAAGACCAAGCAGGACAAAATATTAAGCACAACATTGAGTGTGATATGAGTTAAATTTGATTATAGGGTTACCATAAATAATTTTGTTTATAACTGTGGTCATTTATTCCAAATCATATCAGTCTGAAAAACTAAACAAAGTTGAAAACTGCAGAGATTTGTTAAGCATGTAATCTCCGTGGAATGATCTATTCTAAACAAACACCTATTTTGAAAATAAATTTTACATCCAACAGATCGATATCGGTGTCAATATTTAATTTTAGTACAACTTCTATCTTCAGATACACGTATTATGTTTTATAAATGACGAAATCATCGAAATGTAACCTCCGTGGAATGTAATCTCCGTTGACGTTTTGGTAAAGAGTGCTTTCTATCACGTCCGCACTTCTATCGAGTATGGCATGCCAAATAAACATATTAGATAATTATTATGGATGGCGAATATATAACTTACAGATCAATAACATACATTGTAATTATCGACATAAGAAGACACCATGTGACAATTTTTATTAATCAATTGTTTAAATGTAACACAGTTGCGTTTTTCTCAGACCTAGAAAAAAAACCGAACCGGATGTTTTTTATAGAGAATAATACATGGCAAAATCCGTATCACATGCCGTATCATCCCGAGATACCAATATCAGCCCGAGGGATGATATGGGATGTGATACGGGTTTTGCCATGTATACGCTTTATCACAGATTTAAACAGGAGAGTATATAAGAACTGCTTACTGATCTAAAGCACCTGGGTTATCTTCAGATTTATTTATTTTGCCATGTTTTAAAAGTTTTATTATATATAGGAACTGCTTATTGGGTTATCTTACAATTTAGGTCATGTTGTCCATAGAAATATTTTGCTTATCGTATTTTTTGTTTGTTTGTGTTTTGTATGGTAGTTCATTCAGTTCTTTTTATCCTCCTTTAGTAATGTTGTACTATATAAAACACATTATGAATATAACCTGTTAATAAAAACAATAGCAACAATAAACCAAAAATTTAATAACAAGTATACTGTAATAAACAAGAGACTACTTTGAGACTGGTGAGTAAAATGTGCACTTTTGAAATATAAAAATCTAGTTTAACAAACATCGGACTTTATGTAAATTTAGTCGGAATCACTACTGTCATAAATGAGAAATCCGAATAGGGGTGCGATAAAGGGGTGTGATAATGGGTGCGCATAAAAGTTGAGCGATATGGATTAAACAGCAGGCTATTTATCAAATATTCAAAACTTCTGTATTTACTACTAAATATAAATTATGATAAATATCAATATTAATGCAAGTAAATAATTTTAACCTGTTTTCAATATTCAAGATATGTAACGTTTATTATTAATATAAATTTGATACCGAATTTAATACGATTTAACAATTATGCAAGTAGCCATTAGAATTGCTCTGCCTAATGAGTTTTATATCATGTTGCACAGGGAAACAAGCTTTTAAATACTATCTTTCATTTAAATGAAATTACGACGTCGGCTGAGAGGGCATGGTATATATTGTCCGTTACATTTATTAACAACACCTTGTACAAATATTCTTTTCGAAAATTAAAACACGCAGCGATGTTAAGGCAATTTCGATAAGATTTTGTCAGGGGCAGATAACCCCGTAAGGACCTCATTATGTATTCATATATTCATTAATGGCGAAAAATCCGTAAGCAGCGTCTATCGATGAAACGGTATGAAATCAAATTACATACATGCCTGTCAACTAAAAACAGGTATTCATATGATGTAATTTGTGTATCGAAACACGAATATTGTATGTTTGTGCTATAATTATTATGGCAAACAGTTGCAATAGCTGTTTTTCTTGACGAGATTGTCGGCTTTTGGACCCCGCCTCGTTTTGCAGATTAACCAATCAGTGAACGATCGCCGTCATAAAGATGTTTGTAGTTTGCAGAATGGAAAGAACCTTGCAGCGAAAATTATTTTCACTTCTACGTGAAAATCTAACCAGAAAAGTAAGTGTAAGCCACCAAATATGTATTATTTAGGAAACATACGTTGCTTGTTTTGTTAATCATTCGCTTCAGAAAGCGAAAAACTGCATACTATTAGATAAAAGCGAGTTCAGTGTTGGCAAGTATGATATACACGTGGTCAAAACGAAACTAGACTGCAACAAATATATGAAATTTGAATAATTTATCGATTCCCGTCAATAAATGAACAGAATATCGAATGAAACAAGTTTCCTGCATTATACCAAGAGCCAATTCTCAACATTTACCCTTAAATTCGTTTCAAACTTTCGTTTCGAAGCCGAAGGTATCCTGCCATTCCTGGTTGGGTACATTTGCTCCACCGTTCACTTCTCTCCGGAACCCACGTTGCTGGACTAGAGCCATGATCTCTACCTTCAAAGCATCGAGCTTTTAAAGGAGCCCTAAACACGTAATCTGGAGCTCGACCACATATGGTGTAACCCCCCCCCCCCCCCCCCCCCACCAACCTCTACTCTCACCATAAAATCAGAAAAAAGTCCCGCTTGTAATAAAGTTGCTTATTCTGTGACAACAGACCAGAGTGCGGAGGCACGAAAGTACGCAAATCGCATTATCAATTTATAAATGGAGAAGGCCACAGCTCTTAAGGAACCAATAGATTAAGGGGGGTCTCATACTTATTGCTCTGAATGTTAGTCTACTACAAGCCGCTGAGACAAAAAAAATTACAACACATACAAGTCATGCAAGTGTTATGGACCAACAAGCGTAACAGTTAAAACAAACCAGACACCATGAACACAAATTAAACAAAAATAATCATAAATGAAATATCAGTTATCACACATACTTGAAAGAAGCATATTTTTATTTGGAGCTCCGCCTAAGAATCATTGCTGGTGAATCATTCAGACAATATCTCTAAACAGCTTTCACCAATCTTCATGAAACTTTGGTGAATTGTTTGAATTTATTGACAAAAGTTTTCTTTCCATTTCTATTAGGTATTTTTGATATCTGGTTTTTGAGTATTCATAATTATTTATTCATAATAAAGGGTCGAAATTATGGCGTTTTTCGGACAATGACTCAAAATCGCTTAAACAAATTTTCATGAAACTTTGCTTAAATGTAACGTAAGCTCTCTTAAGATTTTTTTTATATATTTTAGATTTTACTTATTCCAGTTATGGGATTTTGTTCATAAAAATTTTCATGAATTGTGCCACTGTGCGCAAGTTTTTTTTTTTATCTTGTATACCCCCACTTTTAGTCTTTAAAAAAGTGGGGGTACACATGTACTGTTTTACTTCTGTCTGTACATCCTAAAGTCAGTCGGTCCGTCCGTCCCATGAATATTTTGTGTCGCATCTTTCTCAGGAACATTACAGGGATTTCTGAAATCTCAGGTTTTAGAGTTTATATGAGTCAGCTATACCGTGTCATGCTTTTTCAGATTCATCACTCAACAACTTCCTGTTTACCTTATACTTTAAGGGTATGGGGGTATAATAAGTGAGCAGTAAATCAAAGATTCACTTGTTTTTTATACGCCCGTTTACGGGACGTATTATGGTATACCTTTGTCCGTCAGTCTGTCCGTCCGTTTGTCCTTCGTCAACATGTCGGACATTAACTCAAAAACGCTTTAACCAATTTGCATAAAACTTTGATGAATTGTTTATACCTATTGACGTGAGCTCTCATTCGGTTTTTTTAATTTTAGATTTAACGTTTCCGAGTTATTGGGTTTTATTCATTAAAAAAAGGGGGATTTTCCAGTTTTCGGACAATAACTCAAGAATGTTTTCACCAACTTGCAAGAAGTTGTGGTGAATTGTTTATATCTATTGACATGAGCTCCCTTTTGATTATTATAAATTTTAGATTTTATGTTTCTGAGTTACAGGGTTTTATTCATATAAAAATGGTGGATTTTCCAGTTTTCGGACAAAAACTCAAAAATGCTTTCAGCAGTTCTTATGAAACTTTGGTGAATTGTTTATATCTATTGATGTAAGCTCCCTTTAGAGTTTTATAAATTTAACATTTTACATTTCTGAGTAATGGTGTTTTATTCATTAAAAAAGGGGGGATTTCCCAGTTTTCGGAGAATAACTCAAAAATGCTGTCAGCAGTTCTCATGAAACTTTGGTGAATTGTTTATATCTATTGATGTAAGCTCCCTTTTGAGTTTCATAAATTTCTAATATGACATTGAGAATTAATTGGACTTTATTTGTTTATAGTCTCACAACAGAAAAGTATTGCACATCAGCACAGTGTATTGAACAACAGCAAGAAATCTTTAATTGAATATAAATTCCTCTGTGGGCGTATCCAGCTGCGCTCAGCGAAACAGTTTATTTAGATTTTTTTTTGGGGGGGGGGGGGGGCTGGCTATTTTGAGCAGTGAGTGCTCTCAGCATTTCTAGTTAATCATCATGATCATAAAAATTAATTTAAGACATAAAGACGAGCTAAAATGACAACATGTGTTCATGGCACAGCTCTTTATTTGCATAGGATGAAGCAATTCCAGAAATCTGAGAAAAAATAGGCATTATATCTACATGTGTATGAATAAAATTCTGATATCAGAGCTCCAGATAAGCTGCGTATTTGCGTGATCACGCAATACAAATAATTAAAAACCCAATGCAATTGCCCATTGCAGGGTTCAATAACCCAATTAATTCAAAGGAAAACCCAATTATATGCCAAAAACATGGGTTCTTAACGCTTTTATTCGCTATCGTTTGCGTTATTTACCCTTACTTGATTACAGTCGTGGCTTAAATCTATTTTTATAATATTTATAATTGGAAATGTCCTTTCGTTCTAAAAATAGAGCCCTGCATCAAATAGCTGTAATGGGTCCCTGTTGGAATTTTCCGTTGCTCAAAAGGTACACGTGTTTATGAAAACATTTCGATCTTCTCGGCGTTTATCCAATTAGCGTGTGACATGCTGTCACATTTTTTCGAATTGCTCGGGATTTATCATAACATACAATGAATTAAAACGAAAGTAAATGTCCGGTAAATAAAAATATATTGAATAGAAGCATGTTTTTCGGCTTCTTTTTGATAGCTGAGGGAAAGTTATGATGATAACAAGACTCAGCTAGTGATTTTAGGAAGCGGCCATTGAACGCACGGGCGTGTTTGCGTACCATAACGAGAACATTGCTAGAGCGATAAACACGGCCTGACGGGGTTCCGTCAAAAACGAAATCAGTTTGAAAAAGTGAAAGGCCAAATCAATTATGACATGATATGTAGTTTGAAAGCATCGGAAACCAAAAGTTCCGATAAGGGACAACTTAACCCAGATTTATGTAAATTGAATTAAACGATAAAACAGTTTATATATTATTTTTTTCATTTTAGTTGATGAGTGAATACACATATCCGTTTTTTACGTCAATGCAGCTTGACACTTTCTTTGTTTTGGTCTAATTGTTCTAGATGCTTAAGATAGTTGTCTTATTGGCAAGTGCAGTATAACATTGTCATTTATTTACTTGATGTTGCAGAATTATTTGTAAATTTAAGTTGAATGTGGTCTCCGTCATTATAAACCACCCTATAAACCTCAAGGTTTTGGGGTATATCTTAAATCTGGAAACTACCTTTTATTTTTATTAAAAAGTAGATCTGGCAAATAGGTGAAAGGACTGGCAAAACTTTCTTACAGCACCTAAATTTCACATATATTACACAAAAATCTAAACACTTAGCCACACCTACCCCAACTATAATTAAACTGTAGGGTGATCATATAGGATCTAGAAAGGCAATTAGTTCCTGTCCAACTAGTGACACCAGCTGCAGTTTACATAAGTTTTGAGAAAATACAAAACTGACAGAACGTTTAAAACGGGACACAAATTAAATGTACAATTGCTCGTCAGTGAATATACCAAATAAAACAGCTAGCACATATTCTACAAAGAAAGAAACACATTTAAGATGGAAAAACATCTGGGGTTGATATAATGTGATTATAACATGCCTAAATATTCAATATTGTGTTGATGAAAAAACCCAATACATTAAGGAGCTTGGTGGTGAAAAACCCAATTTGATATTTGCTTGAGGGGTGAATTAGAATTGATAATGCAATTAAAAAACTTTATCACCCAATTACATAAAAAAATGGTGGGTAAAAACCCCAATGTGTGAATTCTTATCTGGAGCTCTGTGATATCAAATAAGGGTTGTGTGGCAGACGTAATTTCTTTATTCAAGAAATTATATGAATCATTATACACATGTTTATGCTCCTTATTTTAAAAAAAGTATCTATTTGTAATTAAATAACTACTTTCTCTTTTTTTTTTAGCTCACCTGTCAATTACAAGATACAGTATGCCATTCCAGCTTTGATAAATATAAAGTAATGGTTTGAATTTGGAGAGCTTTATTATTATAGACAGGTAAATTGTTTTATCCTGCAATTAGCACACTATTGTACAATGAGGCAACTCTCCTCAAGAGTCCAAATGATGCAGAAATTAACAACTTTAGGTCACCTTATGGCCTTCAACAATGAGCAAAGCCCATAGTCCATTATATAAAAGGCCCTGAGGTGACATATGTAAAACATTTCAAAGGAGAAAACTAACGGCCTAATTAATGTAAAAAAAAATGAATGAAAAAACAAATATGTAACACAGCAACAAATGACAACCGCTGAATTACAGACACATACATACAGAATGTGGCGGGGTTAAACATGTTAGAGAGCCTGGCTTTCTTCCTGTTTTATAATTTGTGCAAATAAATTTCTGTTTTCTTGCATTGTAAGAATATTGTATGATGTAAATTCAGAAATTATTGCCATATTTTTATAAGGCAACTTTGAATATCGCAATTATAAGAATTCATATTCTGAAATCTATACATATAAGTAACTGTACAAGTATGTAGATTTTTCTGAAATCACAATTATTAATCTCACTTTTTTGTCCAATTTTCAAAATTTGCATTAATAAATGTACCCAATAATCATGATAATTTTTATTCGACTGCAAAAAAATTTTGCAGTCGTATATTGGTATGACATTGGCGTCGTCATCGTCCGAAGACACATTTGTTTTCGCACTCATACTTAAGTTGAAGTGAATGGATCTCTATGAAATTTTACCATAAGGTTCAATACCACAAAAGGAAGGTTGGGATTGATTTTGGGGGTTATGGTACCAACAGTTAAGGAATTAGGGGCCAAAAACAAGCATTTTTGTAACTTCCAGACATAACTTGTGTGTAAGTGTATGGATCTCTCTGACATTGTACCACAAGGTTCCATATCACAAAGGGAATGCTGGGATTGATTTTGGGGGTTATGGTACCAACAGGTAAGGAATTAGGGGCCAAAAATAAGCATTTTTCTAGTTTCCTGACAATAACTTGTGTTCAAGTGTATGGATCTCTCTGAAATTGTACTGCAAAGTACCATACCACAAAGGGAGGGCTTGGATTGATTTTGGGGGTAATTGCCTCATTTTTAGGAATTAGGGGCCAAAAAAGGGGCAAAAAACAAGCATTTTTCTAGTTTCATGACAATAACTTGTGTGTAAGTGTATGGATCTTTCTGAAATTGTACTAAAAGGTTCCATATCAGAAAGGTACAGCTGGAATTGAGTTTGGGGGTAATTGCCCAAAACGTTTAGGAATAAGGGGCCAAAAATAAGCATTTTTCTAGTTTCCAGACAATAACTTGTGTTCAAGTGTATGGATCTCTCTGAAATTGTACTGCAAGGTACCATACCACAAAGGGAAGGCTTGGATTGATTTTGGGGGTAATTGCCTCAAAATTTTAGGAATTAGGGGCAAAAAAAGGGGCAAAAAACAAGCATTTTTCTAGTTTCATGACAATAACTTGTGTGTAAGTGTATGGATCTTTCTGAAATTGTACTACAAGGTTCCATATCAGAAAGGTAAAGCTGGAATTGAGTTTAGGGGTAATTGCCCAAAACGTTTCGGAATAAGGGGACAAAAATAAGCATTTTTCTAGTTTCCAGACAATAACTTGTGTTCAAGTGTATGGATCTTTCTGAAATTGTACTGCATTGTAACATACCACAAAGGGAAGGCTGGGATTGAGTTTAGGGGTGATGAAACATAAGGGGGTTCAAAAAATTGGGGGGGGGTTTCCTTTTTTTCTTTAAAATTTTCCATTTTGAATTGGTTATTTCTGATTTATATATAAAAGCAAATAATAATGATATGGTTTGAATAGGTAAATTAAAAAAATTTAAGTTCTTAAACCACATTCATTCTGTGTCAGAAACCTATGCTGTGTCAAATATTTAATCACAATCCAAATTCAGTGCTGTATCAAGCTTGAATGTTGTGTCCATACTTGCCCCAACTGTTCAGGGTTCGACCTCTGCGGTCATATCAAGCTGCGCCCACATAGCATTTTATTTAATTTAATGAAGTATCTGTACCAACAATAAAATTTATTTACACAGACATGACAGATATTAATACAATAATATACTGAACTTTATAGCTAAAATTTCTTAGCTGTGGATTACTGATATTGATATTGAAGTATTCCTGTCATCATGGTCATAGTTTACATTTGGAAAAGGAGATACAAAACAATATCGTTAAACATAATACATAAGTTTAAATATTTATTACATAATACATCTAATAGGCACATCTGGGTTTTTCATTTAATTTTAAAGTTTTATAAAAGTAGTGCACCTTATTAAAATGTGTGTGGAAAATTAAATTCTTGTTCAAATGTTGAATGAAGACATTATAAAATAAGGACATGGGAATTATTAATTTATTTTGTTAGCATTTTAACAGTAAATTCTTGAAGAAGTATGTTTGCACTAACTTTTGATTACTTTTCACATGTTGAAAATTTCATTTAATATATATTATATTTGCATTTTCATATTTCAGGGATGATGACCTGCAGTGAGACAGCAGTAGAAAGTTACTTATAACTCATCATGGCCATTATGGAAGATCTGATTAAAATTTGTTTAGAAAGCCACCAAATATGTCCATGAAAAGTAGAAAAAAGACAGCAATTCTACATAATGTACTAAGCAGAAGCATTGACTGTTTCAAGACCAAATGAATTGGAATTTAGTGTTTTGATGCTGAGAGACAGAGGAATATTAACTGGACAATTTAGCTTCTTTTTCATCATCATTGAAGTTGATGTTTACCATCTTAAAGAGCTTTAACCTCAGTTAAAATGAATTCTAAATATAGGCAGTTTGGAGATTTGTGAATTTTCTTACAATTGGAGTTTCAAAAAAGGATTTCATTTAAAAAAAAATGTATTTCACTGATGTAATTTGTCGTCTCTTTCATGAAATATTTGAAAAATCTGCAATATCTAACCAAGTGAGAGATCTACAGATCATTTGCAGATAGACATATATATGATATTCAGTTGAACTGTAAAGAAGGAAATATTCATTTATAAGACTTATATGAGTGTTTTGTTATTTTTATGGCAAGTACAGGGAAAAGATAAAGTAATTTGATTTAAACATTCATCCTACCTACAGATATACACGAGATATACATGTAGGCATACAATTCACTGATGCACGACAAATGGAGTTACATGTAATTTTAGAACTAAGAATATGACATACATATATGATTGCCAATGAAACAACTCTCCATCAGAGAACAAATAGTCATATATTGTCCACCAGAGAACAAGAAAATCATATTTTATCATGATTTATATTTCAATTTCATTTCATAACACAGACTACAGGTTTACAAAAAGTTCAAAAGTATAATAAAAGTGTTTTAATTGCAGTTGTTGGTCATATTGATGTTGGCCTTCAATACTGAGCAAGACCTCTGTACACATGTAGCAGCCACAGAATGTTTGAACCAAAAAATTATGGGTATTTTTCTTTGCTTGCATTTATATCATGTAGCTGCTATTTTGTACATATGTACATTTTCATACATGTTCACGAATCACGTGTATCTAGTTTGTCTACCCGTATACTTGGAAATCTGGAAATTTTGCATGTTTTCATATTAGTCAAGTTAAAATTGGTTAAACCATTGTATTATTTTGGTAAAAAAATATAAATTGATTTAAATGAGACTGCAATAGTTAATCTCACATTTTTCGTCCTTTGTTCAATAATTATAATAATCTAGGGAATAAATTTTACTAAAAAATTTCTGTGTATTTTTAAAAGATATATAAACTTGGAAACTTGTGATGGAATATTTCCACAGTATAAGAGATTCTTATATCTAGCAGGTTTAGCAAAAGATGTTGGGTATACTATGTATACATGTATGGCAATGAGACAGCATTCCCAACACAGACAGATATTACTTTCTTCTTATTTTAAATTTAAAATTGAGAATGGAACAGCAGAAGGTCACCAATAGGTCTTCAATGCAGCGAGAAATTCTCGCACCCAGAGGCGTCCTTCAGCTGGACCCTAAACAAATATATATACTAGTTCAGTGATAATGAACTTCATACTAAACTCCAAATTATACACAAGAAATTAAAATTAAAAATGATACAAGACTTACAGAGGCCAGAGGCTCCTGACTTGGGAAAGGTGCAAAAATGCGGCGGGGTTAAACAGGTTTATGAGATATCATATTTATGTAGTACAGCTAGAATTTGATATAAAAATAAGATGATGTGGTATAATTGTCAATGAAGTTTTGATTAACAATTAAGTTGTGTTACATTTTGTGATTGGGTCAGGTAAAGATTAACCCATGATTTTTGGTAGGTAGCAGTTTTATAAGCATTTACATGTACATATCATTTTTACTTTCCATGCTGACTATTTTGTCCTGTCCCCTATATCATGATTCATTCATCTGAAACTTTTGGATTGTGTTTACATGTATGTAAAAATAGTTAGTAAGTTATTTCTGTATTTTTATACATACTGGTACATAGAATTTCTTTTATTCGGACAGAAAAGAAATACCATTTCAGTTGGCTCCAATCTCAGCAGTTGATAGGAAATGAGTTTTCTGATTTTGACATCTTTAAGATGAACCTTAATTAAAATATTATGGCACTTCATAATGAAAACACAATTGATTGATCGTGCTGAATGTCACGTAAGCACTTACGGCTTTTTCTTTGTTGTCCATTTGTATTGGTGGACACTTTGTACAGTAGGCAGGAATTTAATATGAAATAAGCGGCAGAAAAAAATAGGTCAGTGGCCCACCGTCACTTAGTATTTCCAACTTCATGATAAAATTGTATACTTTTAAGGTTGAGAAATTAAGATGATATATATGCCAAGGCTGCAGATTGAATAATTTGTACATGTACACGTACCTAAATCTGAAACAAATCACAGATGAAATTAAAATTAGTCATACATGTATATGCATCTGATATAATTTTTCAAACTGGTTATCGCTTTATGATATATATATACATGTAGCATGATGTAGTGTAAGCATAAATTATAGAGCACAAAGTTTTTTAAGTTTGGGTTACTCACACATCTTCTAATCCTTATTCCAAAAAGGTAGTTTGTGCAAATATTAAAACTTACTCGTTCTATGAAAACAGAAATATATCCCCCATGTCAATGCTGGTGTATGCCTTTGAATCCCAAACAAAATAAAATGAGTAAAAGGAGGGCAGAATGATTTTACCAAGTAACTGTAAGGATGTTAGAATAAGTAAAATATTGCTCCAGATGAGTTGAAAAGGAATATTCTGTGCAATAACATGCAGGAAATAACTAAGGACATAATAAAAAAAACTGGCATGGCAGCTGGTGAAAATTCATAATCATTTAGATGCAAAACAATCACCCTGCCCCCACCAGAATGAATTCAAAAAGACCTCCCAATCATGATTTACAAATTGATACCAGTCACACTTGATAAGCAGGAGATATTCAACAAATAAAATCTGGATATATTTATGCAGGTAGGAGTTTATATTTATAATTTAAACATTACCAATGACACGCCGAACAAACAAAACATCATGAATTTTGGTATAAAATTCTTTGTGAAAATGCAACTTTTTTCATTAAAATTTTTATGGTTCACAATACACAAACACTAGAAGAGACCTAGTAGGCTAATCTATTAATTTATATAATGAACTTGCACTTGGAAAATGAGAACTATACAAGCACACCAAATGCGGATTCCGGATTTGAACAAAAAAAGGGGGAAGGCTGCATGCCCCAAGACTCTGTATAATAATGACCTGAATAATTCTGATTTTTTTCCTTCATTAAATTAAGCAAGCAATAAGATCATATTTGTTTATTCGCCCAATCATATCATTATGACATGAAACGCCGGTGAAAACAAAATATACATTTAGTTTTTCCGTCAGCCGATCCGACTATTACAGGGTCTTTCGAACGCTTTTTTCTTGCATTTCAGGGCGATTATGCTACTACATCTTAAATTAATTGAAAAGTGCAGGTACAAGAGCTATACCAACCCACTCCATTCTGGTATTGGTAGAAAGGGCACATTTCAAATTTTTCAAAAAGTGCTGCTACTAGTTATATAACGTTCGTGTAAAAGAAATTTCACAACCCGAAGTGCCAAAAAGTCAATAAATCGATAGAATTCTCCATGTTTTATTGTTTTTTATTTACAAAACCTCTAATAAAAAACTAGTGGCAGCACTTTTCCAGTAAAATAAGTTATCCTGATTACAGGGAGACCAAAATCAGGGCGATCCGATTTCATCTTGCACCTGCACTTTTGACTTTTTTGGAAAATGTCTACTTTCAGTTTGAAGTCACGTGACACTAGTGTATATATATTTTTCTATAAATAAAAGTTTGGAATGTAAATCTGAATAGACCCTTTTCTCTCCGTTTACTCCTATGACGTGTATTTTGGCTTTTAAACAGAGAAAACTAACTCTGAGTTCAATATGATTTTTCTTGTGTATAAAAATGGGAAATTTCTTAATACGACCTTAACATCCCTGCGCAGTTAAATAGATCAACAAAACTATCCGTCACATTATAATATATATGACGGTCTGGATTAGGAGAGGGGGGTCTACATTTCTGTATTCTGTAATTCTTTAGGCCATTTTTCTGTAAATATGATTATTCTGTAAAATTCTTGTGTTCAGATCCTGCATATGAACATTTCCTGTTGTATCATAATATTGACATGATAAATCTTCTTGTCTGTATCAACGACATACGTATGACGACACTACCCCGTACCCCACCCCCCCCTTTTTTTTTAATCTGTCACTGTACTGCACAAATGATACCATTTATCAATTTTGATTAATATCTGAATATCTGATTAAAACCAAACGGGGGAGAAAAAGACCATTTTAATTTCTTCGTGATAATTTGGTTATCTGGGATAATAAGCAAAAGTTAAGATGACATGAGGTATATTAGATCATATTTAATTTGTCATATGAGGTACTAGTACTGAGAAGCTGAACATTCAGTTTTATAACAGAGAGTACCGGTAGTTAACCGATATTAAGAGAAATCTGAAATCCGATAGAGTAAAAATTCGATCACCAGAACTAGATTTTATCCTTGATTGCCCAACTGTCCTACAAAATATTAAAACATTGCCTATTAATCAATTGTTTTTGAGAATATTAAAATATATTTAACATTTATTGGTACTAAAAATACCCCAAAAAATCTAAGACAATGTCATCCGTCCTCAAACATCAGTCTTCCAGCTCTTACCAATTAATTGTTTTTTTTTTAATTATAATGAGTTATGGATCTTACAAATATGAAACTGAAGATGTAGGAACTATGTCGACGAAAGAGCCGTTTTAATTTTGCAATTCCTTTCAATTCCCTTTAATTATCCATTGATAAAATTTGAAATTATAAAGAAACTAAGGTTTCAACTCCATCGGGCAAAGTTAATCTTCGACTGATTTGGCTATTTTTTTTTATGTCTTTTTTGGTCATATAGCTCATCAACTCTTTCTGTTCTTTTACATCCTTGGCTTTCAAATATTCGGCGCTGGGCGTAAATGATGAGGATAAATCAAAATAGCGTTTCGGAACGAAATGATACGTTAACTCGTGCAAGATCGTGATTTCGGAGAAAAATGCCGATGCTTATGAATGTATATAATTTGCATCGCTAATTTCAATAAACCAGTTCCGATTACGACCAGTTCAACATTTCATTCTAAATGATCTACTTGTCTATTGTCCATTATCAATAATAAATTTGATATGGAGAAAACGCAAAGTTTCATTATTCTTTAAATTATTTATTTCTGAAATCAGTATTTTTTACCTTATTCTTAATTTTTATACAATTATTTTTTTACACACCATTATTTTCTATTCTTTATTTGATTGCCTATTTTTCTTCATTCTTTATGTTTTAGGAGGGGGGACATTATTTTCTATTCTATAAACCACCTCATATATCTTGGGTTATTTCAAATAGATATCAGATATTCAAGCGGAATATGATACATAA